CAATATATTGTAATCATGCATTTCCACCCTCATGTTTAGACGCCTCTTTTGAGGTCTGGACACAGAAAGGTATTATTACTGTCAAAGACTTATTTATTGACAGGCAGTTTGCATCATTTACCCAGTTGCAGAACAAGTTCTCTCTCCCCGCATCACATTTCTTTCATTATTTACAGATAAGAAACTATGTTCGTCAGAGTACTCTTAATTTTCCATCTCTTCCGGAAGAGGGGTCAATTTTTACACTCTTCTGAGCTCCCCGGATTCTAAAAAGTTGGTTTCTGGTTTTGTGAAAGCTTTTTCTGAGTATTTAAATTTTGAATCTGACTTTTTGAAGATGGCATGGGAGGAGGAGCTTGGTTTGCAAATTGGAGATGAGGTGTGGGAGAGGAGTCTGTGTAGGATCCATTCTTGCTCTATAAATGTAAGGCATCAGTTAATTCAATTCAAAGTGCTTCACAGACTTCATTATTCAAAAACTAAACTGCACAGGATTTGTGATATATGATCGTTGTAAACTTGGAGAAGGCTGTCTCACTCATTTATTTTGGACTTGTCCCAAATTGCTTAACTATTGGTTGGACATTTTTAAATGTTTTTCTGGTATTTATAATTGCACATTAGAGCCGGACCCAATAATTGCATTGTTTGGAACTTCCTCTTCCCTTTTACACCTCAGCCCTGCTGCACAAACTGCAGTTTTGTTCGGAATGGTAATTGCTAAGAAAAATATCTTGACTCTCTGGAAGTCGGATATTGTAGCTCAATTCAAAATGTGGCTAACAGAACTGAGTGCTCTACTACATGTGGAGAGGATTAGGTACACATCAGCGGACAAACTTAGTCATTTCTTTGATGTGTGGCAGCCATTTTTAGACCATGTATTAAAGCAAAGTCCTGTTTGATCGATCACCAATAACTCGGCCTACCACCTTAGTGTTTTATTTCTGTTTATTGCCAGTTGAAGTAATTTTGAATAATTTACAATAGTAATTTTACTAGTAATACTACTTCAACATCAGTTGAAGTAGTATTTTTGTCGTTGCAGTGTAATATTTTGTCTTATTTGTGTGTTTTAGCCCTTGTTGTTATGTTGTCTGTTTTTTGGTTTTTTTGTGTCTTTCTTTTTTCCTTATATCAAAACATCTCAATAAACATACTTACAAAAAAAGATTGAAGCATTAATTAATGGCAGGACTTCTTTGAGCAGTTTTGTAGGAATGGGGTCTAAAAGACACGTTGATGGTTTGGAGGAAGTAATTATTGAAGTTAACTCAGAAAGATCAATTGGAGAAAAAGAGTAACTTAACATCAATGGTACTAAGAGTAGCTGTAGATAATATCATTATCTGTGAGATGATTATGGGTAATCTTTTCTCTAATGATTACATTTTTTTTTGTGAAGAAGTTCATGAAGTCATTACTAGTTAACGTTAAAGGGATGGTTGGCTCAACAGAGCTCTGACTTTTTGTCAGCCTGGCTACAGAGCTGAAGAGAAACCTGGGGTTGTTCTTATTTACTTCAATCAGTGATGACTAGTAAGTTGTTCTGGCTTTGCGGAGGGCTTTCTTATAAAGCAGCAAACTATTTCTCCAGGCTAAATGATGATCTTCTAAATTTGTGACACGCCATTTCCTCTCCAGATTACGAGTCATCTGCTTTAGGCTATGTGTTTGAGAATTATACCACGGAGTCAGGTACTTCTGATTAGAGACCTTAGTTTTCACAGGAGCTACAGTATCCAGTGTTAAACATAGAGAGGAGGCAAAGTTATTAACAAGATAATCGACCTCTGTTGGGGTAGCGTTCGGGTAGCTGCTCTGCTCTGTGTTGGTACAGGGCATTGAAGATGATAACAGTGGGTGGATTATATTCTTAAACTTAGTTACAGCGCTTTCAGAAAGACATCTACTTTGATAAAGTCTACTCTCCACCGCTGTGTAATCAATTATTGTAAATGTAAATGTTATCAGGAAATGATCAGACAGGAGAGGGTTTTCAGGAAACACTGTTAAATGTTCAGTTTCTATGCCATATGTTAAAACAAGATCTAGAGTGTGATTAAAGTGGTGGGTGGGTTCTTTTACATTTTGAGATACTTCAATTGAGTCTAATGAAAAAATTATATGCCATGTTGAGGCTGTCATTTTTAGCATCTACATGGATGTTAAAATCACCCACAATAATTACTTTATCTGAGCTGAGCACTAAATCAGATAAAAGGTCTGAGAAATCAGACAGAAACTCTGTGTAAGGTTTATACATAGGCTGGTGTGAAAAATTGCTGCCACACCGCCCCCTCGGCCTGTGATTTGAGGTTTCCAGTTCCAGGTCACTGTTCGTGTGGTCGAATGGCCGGTCAGCTGAGCAGTTTTGCATTCTTTTCTAACTTTAATGCTCTTTCCATTGTTGTTTTTCGCCGTCTACTCTGTACATTTCGTATTCTTTCCTTTTTCTCATTTTTGTGGACTTGTTTCTGACACTTCGACATGACCCCAAGGCTCACCTACACCAGAGAGTCCCTCATTCAGCTGCAGCTGCAGCCCAGGCTCCGGCTTTTCCGCTCTGCTCCTACAGACTATTTTCGCGAGGAAATACTCTTGGACACGGAAATCAAAAAACTCACAAAAACAAGGTAACCAGGAGGGATTAAAGAAGAAGGGGTGAGAGCCAGACTCAAGAGGGAGACACACAAACAACGAGCACTCCTGTCCATTAACCTAATGTGTGTTCTCTCTGCAACAAGCTGGACGAGCTGCAAGCCTGCGTCAACCACTTGCATGAGTGATGACGACAGCACGCTGCACATTGATGGCTTTTCACTACCTCTTCATCTGGACGGAGACCATGAACGCACCATAAGCAACATGGCGGCGGCATGTCTGCATGTAAACAGCAGCTGGTGCTCTACAGTCATTGTGAGGGAGAAGCTGTGCACTACAGACATCAAGCTTCTGGCTGTTTCCCTGTTCCCAACTCTGGATAGTCATGTTTTGGGGGGGGGTTAATAAATTTGTCCATATTTCTAGAAACGAGAGCTGCTCCATCCAAAGGATGGGATGAATGACATCTCTCTTAAAAAGACCAGGTTTCCTCCAGAAAGTCTCCCAATTATCTAAGAAGCCCACATCGTTTTTTGGACACAACTCAGACAGCCAGCAGTTTAAGAAGAAAATGTGGCTAAACATGTCACTCCTGGTCTGATTTTGGAGGGGACCAAAGAAAACTACAGAGTCCGACATAGTTACACACGATTCAATATTGATTTTAGTGACCTCCGATTGGCGTAACCGGGTGTCATTACTGCCGACGTGAATTATAATTTTACTGAATTTACATTTACAGTTTGCCAGCAGTTTTAAATTTCCTTCAATGTCGCCTGCTCTGGCCCCTGGAAGACAACTGACTATTGGTGCTGGTGTCTCTAGCTTCACATGTCTGAGAACAGAATCACCAATTACCAGAGTTTGACCCTCGGCGGGTTTGTCGCCGAGTGGGGAAAAACAGTTAGACACATGAACGGGTTGGTGGTGTACCTGGGCTTCTGTTTAGGACTATGCTTCCTCCTCACCGTGACCCAGCCGCCCTCTTTCCCCAGCTGCTTGGGGTCTGCCGGGGAACAGCTAGCTACGCTATCTTCGGCTGCACCAGCTACAGGGGCCTGGCTAGCTACGGGTGTATCGGGGGGAACCAAGTCTCCAATTCAGTAATCCTGGCCTCCAGAGCTGCAAATATGCTACCTCTGTTACAAGTATCATTTCCTTCTAAAGGAGGCCGAGGAGTAACTAAACATCTGACACAGTGAGCAAGAAAGTGCAGGAGGGACAGGTGAAGAAGCCGTGGTGCTAACGAGTCGGCTACGAGCTAAACTAAGCTAATGAAACAGTAGAGACACAGTGAGTGAATACTTTGGCTATAAATTATTTGCTAAGTCCATTAACTATTGCACCTCCTCTCTATATGCTGACGAGACCCACCACAGTCGTGTCATCGGAAAACTTGATGATGTAGTTTGAACCGTGCATTGCTGCACAGTTGTGAGTCAGCTGAGTGAACGGCAGTGGGCTGAGCTGAGCCCTTAGGGGCTCCATTGCTCAGTGTGGTGGTGTTGGAAATGCTGTTACCGATCTGGACTGTCTGAGGCCTCTCCATCAGAAAGTCTAGGATCCAGTTACGGTAGGTGTTCAGACCCAGCAGGCTCAGTTTTCCAATCAGGTGCTGAGGAACGACTGTGTTGAATGCTGAACTGAAGTTTATGAACAGCATTCACACATGTGTCCTTATTGTCCAAGTGGCTGAGAGCAAAATGTAGGGTGGTGGCAATGGCCTCGTCTGTTGACCAGTTTGGGCAATAGGCAAACTGCAATGAGTCCAAGATGGTGGTAGCAGGGCCTTAATATACCTCATAATGAACCACTCGATGCACTTGACCATGATGGGTGTGTGTGCAACAGAAACACCTCCTAGAACATCCATTCTGTACATTCTGATTGCTGTGTTTTTTGAAACAGTCCAACACACACCGCTTCACATATGAACATAGAAATGTGTGTGAAAAAGAGCTGAGCTGACATTAAACATGATGGAGATTTATTCACAAACACTGAGTCACAACAACATTTACACACACATTACCTCTCTGCAGGAGGACACGTGCCTGATTTAAAATTAATGACTTTATTTCACTGGTGTTTCTTCACAAAGCAAATATTTCATTCTGTTGTGGCATTTTATTTCCAGTAATTCATGCAGTATTAAAATTTGTAATGTGAAGGTTCCTCAGCCGGATCCCAAACAACTACATTAACCACTTTGGAGAAGACCAAATTTTTTTTTAATATGTTTTACTTCTGGTTTGCTTAAGGCGATTTTCAGTTGTTTAGAACCCAAAGGCTTGTTTTTAAGAGACAGTTTAAAGGGGATCGAGGGAATGACGTGTTTGCACTGCAGTTTATATCCAACAACATCAAGCAGTTAAATCAAAGAGTTCACAGCTCACCTCACTGCAGCAGACAGAGGCTGGACTTTAAAATCAATAATGTCAGCTTTAGACCGGTCACTCTTTAAGGAGACAGAGCTGGGTCCAGGTTCATGTTTGCATTTAGTTCCTCGTTGGTTCCTGTGAATAATGATGGAGCAGTGAAGTGTTTGCACTACAGTTTATGTCCAACAACATCAAGCAGTTAAATCAAAGAGTTCATGTTACTAACAGCTCACCTCTCTGCAGCAGACACAGGCTGGACTTTAAAATCAATAATGTCAGCTTTAGACCGGTCACTCTTTAAGGAGACAGAGCTGGGTCCAGGTTCATGTTTGCATTTAGTTCCTCGTTCATTCCTGTGAATAATGATGGAGCAGTGATGTGAGTGCTGAGCTGTGACATGGAGAAGAGTCATGGACAGTTAGAGATGGTCGTCTCACCTCTGAGCTTTGGTCTGGCTCTCATGTTCCCCACACAGAGTGCTTTTAGAGGGAGGGGACTCCCTCCTCTCTGTCCTCACACTGATCCATGCTGCTCAATTCACACACACTTTCTACCTGCAGAGGAAACACAAATCATTCATGTGCACATCAACTGAAATCCTCCTTTCCATCATGTGTGCTGGGCGGGGGGGGGTGCGTGTCTCTGTGCCCTGAGTGCTCACCTCCTCCTTTTTCCTTTTATATGAAAGAACTTTCTCGTGGGAAATTCAGACCTACCAGCTTTAGTGGCTGCATATACTGATGTCTGAAAGTGTTTTAAATTATCCTTAAAGTCTGGCTTTTCCACTGAGTTTGGTTCTATTAACAGAATCTATGATCATCTCCTCCACCTGCTGCTGTGGAGATTCAGAGAAATAAATCTACCATAAGAAAAGAAAAAAGAAACTGATCTTATCTTTTGTTATTGGATTTCTCTGTTTGGGAAATATTCCACTCATTCCACTTAACCTGGGTAGTGAATTCAATCAGGGCTTTTTTTATCAAGTCCTAGAGACACTAACATGAAAACATGTTGAGCAGCTCTCTGACTTGAAGAACACGCTTTAGCGTCTTTTGAATTTTTGTGTGTTGGATGTTGATGGTGTGTGAGCAAACTTTTAACAGTTATTTCAGTTAACTTAAGTCAAAAATGATGTTAGCCTTCATATAGATGTGATCTCCCTTTGGACCTCAAAGCTGAGCCTCACATGTTTTTGGTCCTGGGATTTTGATACAGCAAAGCAAAACTGTCAGAGTTTAAATACTCATGCTTGAAGATGAGGAATCATATGCAGACATTAGATACAGAAGGACTTATAATGTGGAGGGAGCTGCTTATTGGGGTTAAACCCAAGAAAAAAGAACACAAGCAGCTCCCTCCTCTATGTGACATCATACTCATGAGGAGGGAAACAAGCTTTTTTTATGATGTTGGGTGCTTTAGCCAAGGATACTTCATAAAAGTTCAAACAAACAAAACTAGTAACCCCATGCAGCACAGCTGACCTTTGTAAGTATCAACAATAACAACATGCTATTTAACAGAGCCATATAAAGACTAACATACATCAGCAGTTTATTTGATTTGCACCCTAATTCACTGATCTGATTTATTTTATGTTATGTAAATAGAAATGTCCCACTTCCTGTTACAACGCTAAAGACAAACTGTTAAAGGAGGAAACAAAGCAAACTTACAGTTTCTTCACACACCAACAACAGGCTCCACGCCACACCCGGACACTAAACACGGACACACAGGTGAGCTGCTTCCTGGAAGGAGGCGGGTTTAAACCTGAAGCTCAGCTCAGGAGGGTTGGAGCAGAGCCAACAGTTGATGTCTCCACTTTCTTCTTCTTCTTTTTTGAAGAACAACAAGTTGAATCTATATCTAACACACATGTAAACAAAACATTCGTTTATGATGTCCGCTCTCCGTCTGCTGCTGTCCCTGCGAATAAAAAGTCCCGGAGCTCTCCGGTCGAGCTCAGCCAACATTCAGCGTGTTTTATCTGATCACACACACTTAGAGAAAATGGCGGACACACACTCGTTGAAAAACATTACACACTGACTTTAATGGAGAGACCGGAAATAAAAACACACAGTTTGTTGTGTGAAGAAATCCAACATGAGCTGAACAAACAGTAAAGTTCCTAAACACAAACTGTTAAAGGAGGAAACAAAGCAAACTTACAGTTTCTTCACACACCAACAACAAGCTCCACTCCACGAAGCTCAGGAAAGTTAAAGTAAACTTTGAGCAGGACGGAAACACCCAGAGAGGCGTTTGAGGACACTCACGACCATCGAAACACTGTGTGCTGCGTTCAGGTGCACCTCAGAAACTCCCAGATTGTTGGCAGGTCGTGATTTATTTCTGCCAGTTTTCCTGTTTGAAGCACAAACATCTGTCATCACTTTGTTGTTCTTCTTCCTGCAGCGTTTGAATATTTCAGCACTAAACGGATGTTTGTTCAAAGCTCATTTCAACCTGTTGAAGTCATGAATGAAAGTGCAGACTGAGAGTGGATCACATGATGTTTAAGGTGTGTCATGTTACATGTTCAGTATTGTCACACATGTCTAGATTGTCCCTGATATCATAGCTGCTGATGATTATATTTGAAGAATTATTCCTGATGGCAGCAAAGTTTGAATGGAGCTCTCTGTCTGTGCTGATTTGTCGCCCTCTGGAGGTCAAAGCACAAACTGCATGATGTCACTGTAACCACCACAGTGACAGGAAATGATGCTAACGGCTGTCGTTAGGCTCACTGACAGCAGTGCTGATGTGTTCATGTCAAACACTGGATCAGGTCAGACTCCTTCATCCTTCTCCAGCATGAGGCCGCCCTCAGACCCACAGGAGCTCTGACCTTTGACCTCCTGACCCTATCCACTTCAGTCTCTTTGCATCTTTAAATGCAAATCCATCCAAACTGTAGCCGAGCACCAAAAGCTGGAAGTTGTTATATGAATGATGATCATAGCAGAGTTCCTGTTTCCAGCTCAGACGTGTTAAACGCTGCTGCTGTGCTACATTTGTCATTTCCTGCTTCCATGTCAAAGTGCTGAACTCATCACTTTAATGCAGTAAAGCAGGAGCTGTAAGTCTGACATTTATTTAATGTCATCACAAACACACACAGCTGGATCAGCACCCAGACAAAGGGCTGAAAAAATCAGCATTTGATTATTATTATTATTATTATTATTATTATTATTATTGTTATTATTATTATTATTATTATATATCCTGTTTATGTGGATGCACTTTACTGATCACATGACTCTGAGGGATGTTTCCAGCACCTTGCTGAATCTGAGCCATGAAGATTTAAAGCAGCTCTGAAGGCAAAGCAGGTCTGAGCCTGTGTTAGCAAGCTGTACCTAATAAAGTGGCAGCAAGGACTCAGTCAGTAATGATCAGAGCCAGCAGGGGGCAGCACAGAGAGGCGAGGCGCTGTCAGAGAAGCAGGCTGACATCAGACTGGTCATATTCCATCATCTATACTGAAATAATCATCAAACACATGCAGAGCAGAAACATGTGGAAACATCTGGAACTCAGTCTCAGTTTTACCCCTCAGAGGTTTACCTCAGTCCTGCTCCTCTGCTTCCTGTTTACAGCGCACATCATGCTGTGTACTGAGAGTCATGTGGTCAAAGTGAGGCCCTGGTACTCTGACAGAGAGCGAGCACAATTATCCTAATGTATATCATCACTACCAGAGAGCATTCAGCTTTCACAGCAGCCAACATCCTGTCACACTGAGCATGTGCAAACACAGCAGCCAACATCCTGTCACACTGAGCATGTGCAAACACAGCTCTCAGCCTCCATCACTCACAAGCTCCAGCCTCCACTTAAAAGCCCAGAACAAAGCTTGTGACCAACACAGCGCAGACAGAGGTGATGTCCACACTCTGTTTCTGGGTGGGAAACTCAGCTGTGGGCGTGGCTGTTCCTCCCCTACAATCTCTGATGTCACAGCTGCTAAATTAGACTGAAGCCAGACTCAAACAGAAAACAGCCTCAGAGACTCAGAGAGAGCGCTGCTCAATCTCTGGACCGTAATATATATTCCACCACTATGCTGCAATGCATCTTGGGATAGGGTGGGCCTACCTGTCCTTCAAATCCAGGGAGAAGGAGGACACATTTGTGGGAGCCTGGGAGTCTGGACGGCATTCGTGGCCTCGCTGTGATGTCATGGACCTTCACAGGAAGCAGAGGCTGAATTGAAACACACCTGCTGACTTCCTGTGTTCTGCTCTGACAGCTGCCATGTGTCACAGCCTGGATAATAAAGCCATCAAACTTCACTCAGCTCCAATAACACCATCAGTGTTTGATGTCCAGAGGATTCATCAGATTTAACCATGATAGAAGCAGGAAGTTAAGATGAAGATGATCAACCACCATGTTGTGACTGAAAGACAAAGCTGAAACACACAGATGTGTACAGATGTGTGGAAAACTAAGCAGCCGCTATGTTTGGAGGCTCACTCAAGTCCTCCCAGTTGACAGTAGAAAAGTCTGAGTTTTACTGTGAAAACCACAAACATGTTTAATGAATCATTTTTAGAACTTAGAGAAACTGTTCACGTCCAAAATCTTTCCAAATACCAAATTTATATACAAGCTTTACATGAAATGAAGCAAACTCAGTTATTAAATGTACAAATACTTGAAAGTGTTTCCACAACAATCAGGTGCATATACAATAAGGCAAGGCAAAGCAAGTTTATTTATATAGCACAATTAAACAACAAGGTGATTCAAAGTGCTTTACAGACATTAAAAAACAAAAACAAATAAAAAGAACGATTTAAAATTGATTTAAAAAAACAGTAGATAAAAATCAGAACAGTAGATAAAATCAGTAGTTAAAATTTAAATTTAAAATTTAAGCTTAAAAGTGCGGATTTGCTGTTTTATTCAAATGCAGCTGAGAACAGGTGAGTCTTCAACCTGGATTTAAATAAACTGAGTGTTTCAGCTAATCTGAGGCTTTCTGGGAGTTTGTTCCAGATATAAATGGCCTGTATTTGTATAGCGCTTTTCTAGTCCCTAAGAACCCCAAAGCGCTTTACACAACCTGTCATCCACCCATTCACACACCCATTCACACACTGGTGATGGCAGCTACATTGTAGCCACAGCCGCCCTGGGACGCACTGACAGAGGCGAGGCTGCCGGACACTGGCGCCACCGGGCCCTCGGTGGAGCATAAAGGAGCATAAAAGCTTAATGCAGCTTCTCCGTGTCTGGTTCTGACTCTGGGAACTGATAAAAGACCGGATCCAGATGACCTGAGGGATCTGGAAGGTTCATACTGGGTCAGGAGGTCATTGATGTATTTTGGTCCTAAACCATTCAGAGCTTTATAGACCAGCATCAGAACTTTAAAGTCTATCTTCTGACGGACAGGCAGCCAGTGTAAAGACCTCAGAGCTGGACTGATGTGGTCCACTTTTTTGGTCTTAGTGAGGACT